ATATCTATTATCAAAAATAGACCCAAAAATAGATAAAAGAAAACCGAGAATTATATTTAAAAATCGGAAAAATGTCTGAACCATTTTAAAACCATTTTATTTTGTCTGTAGAAACCAAATTTCAAAAGTGTTAAAATGTTTCAAAACAAACTTTTCGCGGGACATGTCAAAGAAAGACTTATTTGTACGACTAAATCAATCATAAATTTTGCCAGTAGTTAAAATAATTAAATTTAAATAACACAAAAATAGAAATAGGTGCACCATTTTTGCTTTAATTTTTTATTTTATTTAAGAAGTTAATTCAGAACAAAGTATCTTCTTGCGTAATGGGCGAAGAAAATTACTACCATTATCTTTATCAATACTACAGGTAGCAGGAGGGAAAAATGTTTTTTTTTCCCTTTCTTTTCTTTTTTTTTTACATTCTCGTGACGAGTGTGAAGCAAACTCTGGTATTATATTTTCCGCTGTCAATCATGTATAACTCAGCTTGCAGATAAGAGTATCCTTCAATAATAGGGAATAACAATAAAAAAAGAAAGAAAGAAAAAGGGGGTTTTCATAGTAGGACCATCATAAAAGGGCCGCCAGATTAAGACTGACACACTGGGCGTATGAAAGGGCGGCGGTAGCAAGCGGCAATTACCACTTTCAGAGCAGAAAATTACAGGGGCGCGAGCGCCAGGGCGGAAAATGATACGACTCACGCGAAAACCTCTCGAATTATCGGAAGATATGGAAATATTTGTGAGAAGGAGAAAAAGGGAAAAAAAATATATGTGTATGGAGAAGATAATATGGATAACTGCATTGTAGGGAAAAGTTAAAGGGGAAAATAACTAAAAGAAGGGGGGAAAAAGAAGACAACCTGTAATGAAAGGATTTTTAAGTAGCATTTATTAGATGTTGAACGTATTCTTTCTGAAATACGATTTTTCAGATCTGTGGGAATTTCTTTTCGGGATCCTTTCTGGTTGAAAAGGTAGATAGCTTTTATTACCTGTTGCTTTTTTGCAATGGCGGATTTCGCTTACAATGCACAGGACGTTTACAAAGCGTTTGTAAATTACGCTTATTAGTTTGTTTTTTTAAAACATCTATCCAATCGAATTCTTTATTTAGAGTGCGTTCCACTTACTTTTGTTCGAAAATGAAAAACAATTAAGATTGGAAAAAAATTCATTTTCAAAAAAATTTTTGTTAGCTTTCAAATATTTTTTTAAATCATAAATATTTTCTTTTTCTTTCATAAAAAAATTAAATAAATTGCTCAATAGTATTTTGAAAGTAAGATATCAGTAAAAGCTTACAATAAAATAGTTCTTTTTTTTTTTCAACAACGGGCGTTGAGCAGTCGACTCAATTCTGTGTATAAGACTATCAATGTTCATCTTCTTAGTCTTTAATTTTTAACCCAAGCCACAAAAAAGGGGAACTCATGGATCAAGACTGGGCAACCTAGCCTTTGCGAAAGACTTTTTGATGGAATTAACCCACATTTACATTATACAGAGAGGAAAACCGAGAAAACATCCCACTGTTAGCCCGTCGGCTAAGGGATTTTCCCGCATGATCCATCTTACTTTGATGATATTTTATATCAGCACTGTCGTGTTGCGAGATGGGAACAGAAATCGAATCAATCAGCCAACACTGGGATTGAACCTTATTGGACAATGAGCAGTCTATCCCCTGAGCCACCGAGACTCTTAAAAGTTCTTATGATTTTGTTTGCTTTAAAGTTGCTCAGCTAAGTTGCTTAAGTTAGCTTAAATTAGTTTGCTTAACAGTCTTAAATTATCCAATGTTTAGTTACAAACTGGGTGTTCCACAACGCCCTAAAAATATATATTTTGAATGCTCGTCTGAAGTAAAGTATGCGAAATATGTACAGGAGCCGCAAAATGATATTTGAACAAGAAAATTCCAACAAATCACCATAGAAGAAAGTGAGACTGAAAACAATAATTCCAGACTGGGAAGAAATAGAGAGGTGAGAAGAGATGTTTAAAAACATTTCTATTTACGTCACATAAACAAACTGGTTTTGATTTTGTTTTCGTCCCTTCTACATCCCTTGTGATTCTTCAGTTTTCAGAGAACAGTTTTTTTTCTTTGCTTAAACATCAATTTGCAATCCCAAATGCGTATATTTTTCAACTTTATTTTTGAAAAGTATTCTAAAAGTATATAGTAGTCCTAGCGAACATTCCAAATAAGTTGGCATATAACTTTCTCCTGACACCAGTCGATCATTAGCTGAGCATTGAAACTGAAGAGCTTAAAGGAAGTATATGTTAAGCCATATTTTAAAACACGTAATTGTTTTTTGTTAAAAGGCAGCTGTCAATATGGACCATTAATTAATTTCCCCAAGTATTTTTTTAAAGAAGGTTTTTAAAGGTAGAAGTTAACTCCTTAAAATTTTTGTATATTCTAAACATGATTTTTCGTTTAATTTCACTAGAATATCACTTAACGTTTTTTTTTTAATACTAGTAAGCTTTTCAATTATTAATCATCAGATCCCCCCCCCCCACATTTATGACGAGATAGTTAAGAGGTACGCAATATTTCATAGAATTTTAAAATCAAATGTTAAGTAACTTTTTTTTATTTGGATACACAAGAATTATGTTGCATTATTTATAAATGATGGCAAAGTTGAAATCTGACTTAATAAAAAAATTTTTTGAGGGAAATATGAATACTGTTTTGATAAAACTATTTTGCTACATAGCAATAATTTCGAATACGTCTTAACAAAACAAATACATATTGGAAATATAGTATAAATTAACCACAAATTAATGTCGCGCCATACAATTAAAAACAAACTTTCTAAACGTCAATGACATTTTAAACGAATTAAACTGAGATGTTCATATATTTTTTTTTTCTGCGATAAATACCATTGTGTTGAGTGAACTCAAAACAATGCTCTTCAAACTTAGTAAACTGAATATTTGCTTGAAGCAGAGAAGACCACATACAGAAAGCATCAAATGATAGCACAAGTAACTATTGAATTGAATATCTGATTTCAATGCAGGAATGTTAGGCGTTCGGGGGTGTAGTAGGGGTGGGGAGGAGTGACACACAATTCCGTTCTGGAACAACGGATCAGAGCGTGTGAACCGTAACCCTGTAACGTGTCAAATAAGCCGCTCGATTCCACTGTTCCAGAATGTTTGCCAGGGACGGGGTCATGCCAACCCTTCTCGATCGTGTGCCTGTGGTGGCAGTACAAGTTCTCATATGGTGGGGGTGTATATAGTCCGTTATGGTTAAACTCACATTATACATTGGTTATATATATGTATATAGGGAATTGTGGGTGGATAATAGGGAAGCCTGTGCGAGGAATAGTTTAGATAGTATACTGTATAGAAGGCCATATGGAATTCGAAGCTCTGTGTTCCCGCTTGGAGATTATATTAATATGTGCAATGCCTATTGTGTTCTTAATAGACGAACTAAAACAATTAACTGCATATTTGACCTTCATAATTTATTTACCTTTTCTTTATTAAAAAGTATGGTTTTCAATTTCTGTCTTTATTAAATTTGTTAAAACAGTTTACAGGTTATTATTTGTTTATTTCTTTGCGGGACACTTTGATGTGAATTTTTGCTCTTATCAGCTTTACAAATCATCCATTTTGAAGTTAAAAATATTTTTATGGGGTAATTATCAAATTTGAATTTTAAAAAAGATATATGGGTGTGCAATGAGTGTTTTATTTAACAAAAATTAACTTTCAGGAACGAAAAATATAATAACTCTCTTTAAATTTGTTTAGTAGGGATGGTTTGTATTACTATTTATTTTTTATCGTCATTTTTAAGTGTATAGTTATTTAATCAGAATTTTATCCTGGCAATTTTGTCGTTACTTAGAAAGTTTCTTTGATGAATGTTTCTTATTATACCATACCAACTTGTTTCAATAAACATTCAGTAGGTAAAAAATTAAATATCTGAACAAAGACATGATAATCTCCCATATTTAATTCAATGATAATGGGACTCTAGTAAAAATTCATCCCCATATGGGGACAAATGATTGAGAGGTTGATCAAGTGAGACAATAAATAAATTCATATGGTGTATTCATATAAATTCATAGGTATTAAAGCAGTATGGAATTTTACTATATTACTGTTTGTCTTAAATTCAGATATGTCAACAAAAAAAAACATTAGGAGTGACCGAATGATTCTCCATTCATTGGCAAATCACCTTATTCCCGATTTATTAGGGTTTCTTTAAGACTACCGAATATATTGCAATTAAGACTACCTAAGAAACTTAAGGATATCTACCCTTACAATAAAGGTGTTTTTAAGGTTGTTTTGAAGTTGGCAGATGCAAAAAATCCACCTGAGGTAGAAAATGAGGTTATGTTTCGTACCAAAAGTAACCTCATTAATAAACCTCAATTTCAATCTCCCAAAATCAACCTCATATATAACTGAGAAATATTTTTAGTTTAGATCGGGTGAAATTATTCACATCTCAAATATACGTATTTGCTTGAAGCGTAGAAAAAAATAATCCGCACACCTCAAAAACAACCTCCTTAAGCAGGGTTGATAAAAAAGTAGATTTCCATCAACCTAAAAAAAAAACGCTCAAGTATGAATAAAACAACTTCATACACCCTGACTATACAAATTGGGAGGTTGATTTTTTTAAGGTTGTTTTTGAAATCAATTTCGAACAAACCTCAAATCAACCTTGACACCTCAAATAAACCTGAAATATATCTGACATTTCTGTAAGGGTTTCTTTAAAGCTACCTAGACACCTTAAGCTTTTTCTTTTAGACTTCTTAGGTATTACTACCTTATTAGATAGATTTATTAGGTTTTTCTATGAAGTAGAAGATCACAAAAACATTAGAGTGATTTTAGAGAATAGAGACAGAGATAATTATTTCTAAGTTGGATTGAGCAGGGGTTTGATTAAAAAAAAAAGAGTTGGATATGACTTACCTGTATAACCCTCATGTTGAGGCCCGTTTCTTGTGCCAACTGTTCTCGTATATGTCTCGTTGGCTTAGGCGTTGCAGCGAATGCTGCCTTTAGGGTTTCCAGTTGTTTGGCTTTGATAGTGGTGCGAGGTCCCCTTCTCTTCTGACCTGGCGTATTTTCGTCATTCTGTGCTGCAGAGTTGGACGAATTGGTGGTTTCACTGCTGCTGTTGTTACCGTTAGGCCCACAGGAAGCAGGATTAGGCCCACTGGCTGGGCCACCAGCACTACCCGGCGTCGAATGCAGATGCATTTGAGGCCCTGTAGGACTGCTAACAGTAGAGGTTCCACCATTAAGGCCATTATGACCTCCGTCTCTCTCAACGCTGGAGTCTCTCTCACTTAAATGTCCATCGTGGTCAGGACCCAAACCGTCTCCAAGATCATCGAGGTCGTTACCGTCTGAAGGGGAACTTGCAGCAAGGACACCTGCAAACAGAATAAGTTGTCTTTATTATAAACATGTCTGAATATTGGAGAGAATTATTCGTGTAAATGTTAACAGAACAACTTAGACTAACTTGCCGGTATTTTGAATACGTTTTTGGAAGACAATTGATTGCTCTATTCTTTGGTTTTAAATTGTCTGAGAGTAAAGAAATTGCATTTTGAAATTGATAAGAAATTGGATTTTTTAAAAAAAATATATATATATTAGAGATATCACGTAAATGTAAAATAAGGCAACTTTGCCAGTGGTTTCAAATATGTTTTTCTCTCTTCAAATATTAGCAAATAATTAGTTCCTTTCGCTCAGTTCAAAGCCTGTCAGAGAGCCTAAAATCACATCGCAAGTTTTTGGTATTTTATATTTTGTAATCGTCGTTGAACAGCCGACCCAATTTTTGGGTATACGACTACTGATGTTCAACTACGTAACTTTGTAATTTTTAACCCAATCCAGAAGACAAGGGAACTCCGGGATCAAGTATTGGGAGAAATTTGCCTTCGTGGAGGATGAGGAGATGGATGAAGAATGAGGAAAAATTTGTCTTTTTAGGGACTCTAACCCATGATCCGTCTACCACTGAGGATATTCCACATCAGCACTGTGGTGTAGGCAGGATCTGGAATTCGCATCGACCAGCCGTGGAATTCGAACCCAGTTCACCTCATTGGAAGGCGAACGCTCTATCCCCTGAGTCATCGCCATCGCGGCTCAAGCTTTTGGTATTAGGAAAAATCTTTTTAATAACGTTTTAGTTTAGCATTCAGAGTGTTCTGATTGTATTTAATATAAACTTCTAGGTGCTTTTATTTAATATAACTTCTACGGTAACCCAGCGGTTAGAGAATTCGACTTCGTTCCAAAAAAGCTGGGGTTTGATCATCAACATTGTGAAGACTCACCGATTAAATGCGATTTACTTGCTTGTAAATTCTTTGGAATCGAAAGCCCTGTTCCGGGTCGCTGACCAGTACCATGGATACAGGAATCAGGGGGAAATTTCTCCTTCCCCTTCAGATCTATGTCTAAATTGAGGAAGTGGTCCCATGAATTATCGGGCTACTTCTGTGGACTTCTGAGCCAAGATATACTTTCACCTTTGCGGTACTATCTTGTCAAACAAAGGGAGCCCCTTCCTGACTTAATTCGCATAAGACCAAATTGAGCTTGGATTGTCCAAGTGTCATTAGAAACAACAGCAAAATTAGCTTCTACAAAATTATAAAAACTGCTTTAAAGTTCCAAAATTATAATTTTCCTAGAATGGCTTAAATTGAACATGGCTGCATTTAAAGCGGTAGAAATATATGTTCTATAAATCGTGGAGGGCCCGATGACTCGCGAATTAGAAATATCTAGAATAAAGCGGCATTTGTCTGTCTCATTCAGACTCCGCGTGAATTTATGATTCATAAATACCTCATTTGTCAATTCGGATTCACGCAAGCGGTAATTTTCCTATCATTTCAGTTGGCGAGATTTCGTTTATGAATGAATTCTGGCATCATTTGATTCAAATAACCATTTATCCTCGTGAATTGTTTCAATCTGACCAGTTTTACTTAAACACCAGAGCCTTTTGAATAGAGTGAAAGTTTGAATTAAAAACTGGTGCCAAAATGCAAAACAAAAGTTTCTGTTTTGAGTGATTTACAATTTAGAGCCTTTAGTTTAAAATATATTCGATGATAATTTATAGAATTTGTTTTTAAAACGATATAAAGTTTCTTTTGAGTTTCCATGGAAGGTTTTAGTTTTATAATTTTAATGTTTCTCAATTTTGAAATAGTATAGTAATTGTAAAATATTTTTAAAAAAAATGGATTTAATGAATTTTTCATTAAAATAAATTTAGCAGATTCATCGATAGGCTGATTTAAAACAACTAATTATAAACACATTTCGCATTATTTGAATTAAACATATAACTAATTAAGAAATCTACTTTTTATGAAATGTTATGTGATAAATTAAGGAATCTTATACGAAATTAAAGACGTGAAGCAACAATGTATATTTGTAGACTTTTGAATTAAATCTATATGATACACTTTTGTTTATTTGTAAATTTAGGAAAATTTTTTCCAATTAAAACTTCAGAAAAAAATTTGATTTATAGTTGATGAGAAGAAATAAAACATTAAACCAAAACTTTTTATACAAATAAAAAATTTATAGTTTTGGAGTTAATTGATGAAGACTAAGTTGTTACTAGTGGTTCGTATATGGATAACAGTCTAGATTTATTATTCAAATAAAGTACAGGAATTTAAAGTATAGTTAACTCAATAGATTTTCTTAAAAGTAACTTTAATTATTGATGCAATGACAATCATGTAACTAAAATGACATTCGGGGACAATTTATATTGCACTTTACCGTCATATATTTGCAGAAAATAACTATGTTCAGAACATAAATTTTTCTCATAATTAAATTTTTGAATTCTGACTACTGGCGAAAAGGGGGGTAAATTACTTCAGGAATTAGGAAAATTACTTTACACTTCCTTAGTAGGGAAAATTACTTCATTTGAGTTATTACTTTTGTCCACAAATTTTCTTTTTATTTATGCATAATTCCCAATACCGGATACTATGCTTTTTCAGAAATTACCGTACACTTGACATATAAAATCAAATACCAAAGGCATTATTCATTTTTTTAAACGTTTTTAAGATAAATATTGTTGATAATGCGAAGACTATAATAAAAATAATAATAATAATATGAAATTAGGTTTATTTTAAATGAAAAAATCATTTTGAATTACGGTTACCTTTTTTTTTTTATTCAATAGGGGATTATCAGTTTCAAAAATGATTAAATAAAAACTCAAACAAAAATAAATGAAAAAGAAATATTACTGACACACCTTTTTTTAAAAAATAAAATACTGAGCGATAGTGTAATAATTAGCTGTATTTTACACACTTTTAATTTCAAAGATAAGGATAAAAAAAAAAAATACAACATCAAATTTCAACAATAAGTTTCAGTCGCATAAAAAGGAAGCATATCCTTCAATTTGACATTACCGATTGCAAAGAGATACTAGCAATAGCTGGTAGATTTTTTTTATACTCTTTTTGCCTGGCCTTCTCCAACAATAGCTTCATATCTCATGTAATATTCATGAATCCCACAGATCCCCAGTGCAGATGGCGCTTAAACACCCCTCTTCCCTCCTACACCCACACACGCACACACACATATATATATATATACTTATATGTACCCGAAAATTACATCATTTAGTTTGATCGCTACCCCATCTCCCTGAAATAGTCTTTGTTTAATAGTTGAATGAGGGGGGAAAGAAATACAGAAAGACTGACACGAGTACCAGATAACGGGTGTCAAGGCGGCACGTGACACATTTTATTTGGCGACCTCTGACTCTCAACACTAATCTACACCCCTGGGAAAAAAGTTTGCCAAAGGCGATGCCAAAGTGTGAAATTTCAGTAGTGATTTTAAAGCTTACGTCTTAAACTGAGAATGAAAAAAAAAATTTATTTAAACAATTTTTTTCTTTCCATCATTATTTAGTGGAAAGAAGGCGTTGTTTTGTTGCAACAAGCTCGTTTTTCGAATCGATTTAGCTTTTAAGAAATATGACACTGGAAGCTGTATATATCTCTTTATGATGGTGCATAGTAATATATCAAAAGATGGTGGTCGATTCGAATAAAGATTTTTTAAAATTAAACTTCCATTTATAGTGTGCATCATATTTGCGTATTGATCATTTTCTATTTAATATCTGTACGACAAAATGATTCGATATTTGTAACAGTATTTTGTAGCCACCCAGTAAATGTGTAACTTGAAATTAAGATTTAAGAACAAAAACACTGAAATTGTAGTTTGCAACAAATGATTGTGAGTCCTGGTAGGAAACAGGAAGTCATCATTCAAAGTATTCTTATTCTGACGATGAAGAATCACTTATCGCCACAGGTATTCCTCAAAGGGCACTCTTAGGGCATTTACTATTTCTTACTTCCAGAAATGATTTATAAAACTTTCATCATAACAGTCTTGAAAAATTGAGACCCCCTTTTTTATTATTATTCTCTTTTATTTTATGTTACTATCACTGTCATCACGTAATTCATATACTCCTACCATAGTCATTCAGAAAACTCAGGTAAATGGCTAAATTCGAACATCGCAAATAAATAAATATAAAATAGGAGGAAACGGATACAATTGATGTATATGTGTTCTATGCTTAAACTTAAATTAATATTTATTTAAAGAAACAAAAGGGAAACTACAAACGTTAGAGAAATAAGGCTTTAAGTGATTTTTTTTATCTAAATTTTTATAATTATTTAACTTATTTCTGCTACATAGATTGGTCCATATAGTTTAAAATGTCCTGCTCAATTCCTGCAATGAGCTACATAAACTGCAACTAATAAAATGACAGTTCTGTTGTTTTCTTTTAAAAAAGACTGGTATCAATATTTAAGGAGTATTTTAATAATTCTAATATAGTAGCGCTTTACTAATACAGATTTCAAAACCTAACACCACATATATACAATAGAATTCTTTTTTTTTTCAAGTGAACTTTTATAAACGATTATTTTACATTTTAGAACGATTTTGATCAGTTACTGTCTCTTCTCACCGGGATGAAAAATCATTGTCAAAAGCTTGAAGGATCATTGCCAATTGCTATTAAAAAAGCATAAGCATCAAATCACTTTTGTTTCTTCTCACTCACGTTTTGAAAGTCTTGAAAATGGGAACCCGTTTTTGAGCGCTTGAAGCATATCGACTGTTATTTCCAATTTGTATATTCTTGAGGAGAATAAAATTTTTAATCAATTAATATACCGCTTCAGTTTCTTTGGGATTATTTATTCAAGCATTGTCAATGTCAACTGCTATTGATCATTATCAATTGTCAGTTATCATCACCAATACTTGAATAACTTAATTTCCATCGAGTTATCATTAGCATTGA